TTGAATGGGAAGCAAGCTTGCTTATTTTTGCAATAATTCTTGAAATCAGAGTTTTATTTTGTAGGTAGCCACTCTTATTCACCAATTCAGGAAAAAAGAAAGAAAAGGGTGTGGAGTCCTTGGAGTTCTCTGAGCTTGGTTCTTTTCTTGCAAACATTTCCATCTCTTAAACTAGTTTCTCTTAAACTGCCCTTAAAATACAGCAGCTTGCAAAACACTGCAGACTTTAAGCTGCTTTTCCACACAAGGAACTAGGCTGGATGGAAAAGAGAAAATAGGCAGCAACTCTTTATTCGGTGTGACTTTGTGGGAAGAGAATCCCTTCCCTGTTCTTGCAGTTTCTGCCTCACCGCCCTTTCACATCCTCTCTTTCTCTCTCTCCAATCCTCTCTGCAAAGTGAGCATCAAGTCAAAAATGGTTGGAGCTTCACCTAGATACCTTGTGGCCTCCAGGCATGCTGATTCCTCCTTTGAAAGACAAAGCCCCTGGGTTAAAAAGAGAGAGAGAATGAGAGAGAGCACATTCCAGCCTCACACATGGCTTTGGAACTGTGGAGTTGCACATCATCCAGCCTACTTTTGCAGCAAACTGGCAAGCCTGCTCAGAAAGGGGTGAGAAGAAAGCACTCTCTAGTGACCAGGCATCCATTATGTCACAACCCCTTTGGGAGTCTTGGCCCATTTTTTGAGAAAGGCTGGTTTAAAGTGTTGTGTGAACCCAGTCAGTGAAGAATGCTTTGGACTTGGAAATATTAGGGTATGTTCTGAAAAAAATGTGGGTCAGTCTACTCTGCTTCTTAGTCTTTTTTATACCAAGTAGGGATATAATATTTAATAAAGAAAATGGTAAGCATCTCCTAAAAAGAAGCATGGATCTTTTCTTTCATACTGGAGAACTTGTTTGGGGACTGTGTTAAACACTGATTTTCTCTGAGCGTGTGCAGAGATTACTGGGATTGCTCTTAGTGATAAAGGCATCTGGAAATAGCCAACAAGCCAAAGCTACTGTTTTCAGTGGGCATCACTCTCAGTGTAAGGGGAGTGCTGTGGGCACAGGACTGCAGCCTTAAAGAGGAGGTGGGGAAACAATTTCTCTCTCTGTGCCACTTGGCTAAAAATAATGGTTCTGCTTTGGTTTTTCCAAAAGCAAACAAACAAAACCGAATGTGCAGTGCACGTGCAACCTAAATATCCTTTTAAAATCACATCTAAATTGGGGACCAAAACCACATTTCATTGTAAAAGGCTTTGTGTGTGTGTGTGTGTGTGCGCGCGCCTTCAAGTCAGTCTTGGCTCCTGGCGGCTGCCTGGGATTAGTCCCTGCAGTCTTCCTGGCCAGGTTTTTCAGAAGTGGCTTGCCCCTGCCTGCTTCCGAGGGCTGAGACAGGGACTGGCCCGGTGCCTTAACCACGACACCAAACTGGCTCTCAGTTTTAATGCCATATCTATCTGAAGGGGACAGTTAAGACGACCATCCCAAAGAAGAATACACAGGAAAAAAAATATACAAAACCCATTTTCCCCACTTTGTGAGCCTAGGATTGCCAATACCATCTGAAATCAACCCAGCGGGTTTTTTCCTCCACAATAAATGCTATGCATGGGCCACACGTAGGGGGACGCGGTGGCGCAGCGGCTTAATGACGCTGAAAGTTGCCGGCCAGAAATGGCTG